TCACTGACTTCTTTCCTTCGTAGGAGCCTTGGTGGCCTCCTTCACAGATTTACACGTGTGCCATATTCCTTCCATTTTTCATTGATGAACTTAACTCTGAGGAATATTCAGCCACCTCCTGATGCATGTGTTTCACCACCGTTTGTCTTCAGGGTGTACTTATGGCCAGATGTACTGATTCACCAGAGGCTGGACCTTCTACATGCTAGAATCATAGAAGCTTCAGTAAAAAGCAACTGGACCTCTCGTTTAGGCTCTTGAAGAGGTTCACCTGACATCCAAGTTGCTTCTTTAGTTCTGGACTTCAGAACTTCTTTGGACCTGGAGAAGCCTCTCCAGTGTTGACAGGCTGAGTAGCACCACCCATGAACAGCACCATGGCCTGTAGCAGTGGGTGTAGTGGAGTGGTCCTCCTGACATGGAGAGCTCATGGACAGTGATCATTTAGGAGATGTTGTCAGCACATCAGCTGGAGCCACTCTGTTTTCTGTGTCTACTGTTTCTCAGTATGGGCTCTGGCCAGAGCAGCGACAAGCTTCACTGCAACCGCTACCTGGATGGACAGGGACCTCCATCACTCGTCCAACAAGGTCTGGCACAAACACACAGCGTCCATGATCACTCCCATCATTGTCCTCTTCTTCCCTCTGTACAACTGGACTAACACGCTGTCTGTGCAGCTAATGAAGAGGTGAATGGGAAGCACAGAGAACTGAATGACTGCCAACCAGAAGGCCACATGACCTGGGTGATCCTTCACAAAGACCTGCCAGGGTTTCCTGATGACAACACAGTGCAGATCAACTACATATTCCCAGAAGGAATACAGACGGTAAGCTTGCCTAACACCACACGATGCACCTCTTTAACTATTTGTTCATAGCTGTTTGGCTGCTCAGTTTTTGTCATTGGCCAGAGGAGGAATGAAAGGAGCTCACAGAGGAGCACATGTCAGCATTCTTGCCATGGCAGAGGCTGCTCAACGGGTTTGTCAGGTTCACAGAGCTACAGAAGGACTGGAACTGAAAACCAAAGAGCAGCACAGATTTCAAACGTGTGTCCTTCAGGAGGGGATTTGATTGGACTGTCACTAAATTGTATAATTCATCCTACATCCACCCAACCGGTGGAGGCAGATGGCCGTCCCTCCCTGAGCCTGGTTCTGTCGGAGGTTTTTTCCCCTGTGGGGGTTTTCGGTTCCGTCCCACCAGCAGACTGCTGAAGCTTATAGTGAATCCAGATGTTTGGATTGTTGGGTGTCTCTGCCTTTGCTAAGCGCTATGAGATGACTTGTTGTTGTCAATATGCGCTATACAAATAAAACTGAATTGAATTGTCAGGATGTTGGGATGTCAGCACTGGAAGCATTAAAGGTAAAGATGAGGTGAAGATCAACATCTGCTGACATTTACCTCAAACATACATGTGGAAGTATCTCTGTGTTTTCTGTCTCTTCTCAACCACTCTTTATCCAGTCGACTCTGTACTGTACTTGAGCAGCATCTCCAAAATCCAGACCTAAATCCTGTAGAACGCCTGTGGAGAGACCGAGAGACGACCGTCCAGGGCTTCCCACAGAATGAGATAAAACTCCCCAAAACAGGAGACATACCCCAGAGCTGTAATTACTGCCACATCACCTCCACACAGGAATGAATGCCACGTCTGGATGTGGGTTAATGAGTGCAGTGAGGAGAAAAAATAGGCATTTTATCAAATGTAATAAAAACTACAAGAAACGGTCTCCAGGCCTGTATACCTCCTGGACTGATGGTACATACTGATTTAGAGTGCAGGGTGACTAGTGAAGGACCAAGCGTTAGAGCAGACATGACAGGTTTCATCCAGCCATCCTCACCACGTCCCTGCAGCCCAGTAGAAGCTCATCACACCTGCAGTCTGGAATAAGGCCAAATGAAACCTACCAGTGCACTTCAGAGGTATTAGCCAAAGCAAACTAGCCTCCATACGCAGAGTTTGCTGGAGGTGCTTTTATGTGTGTTTCCTCTGAAGCTCATCTTCTTGCAGGAGAAGCACCCCCACCCTGGGCAGCCTCACGCCGGGCTGCGGCTCTGTGCTTACCTGCCTGACAATCGTGAAGGCAGAAGGGTTCTCAAGCTGATGGACAAGGCCTTCAACCAGAAGCTCCTTTTTACTGTTGCCACCAATGAGGATGGAGAGGATGTGGTCGCCACAGCCTCCATTCCACTGAAGACACAAGCAGAAGGAGCAAGCAGAGAGTGAGTACAGATGACCATCAGGCCTGGCCAATGTTGTGCCAATAAAATTTGGTAAACGCTGAAGGCTTGATGCTAAACTAAATGAGTTGGTCAGCAAACGATTAACTTTAGTGTCAGAGGTCGATTCTGCCCCTCGTAAAAATACGACAGAACAACCTCCAGCGTGTTAGCTGGTGTTTGTCAGAGCACTGGAGCTTCACACCAGGCTTTCAGGGTTTCTTTGTTTTTCATTTTTTATACATGTTTTGGGCTCTTTGCCGTTATTTAGAGCAGCAGAGAGAGACAGGAACAGGAAGAAGAACAGCGAGAGACCGGCAGGAAGGCGGGAGTCGAACCCACAACCGCTGCGACGGGGAGCTATAGCTAACTATAGCTAACTAAAGCTAACTAAATCTAACTATAGCTAACTAAAGCTAACTAAATCTAACTATAGCTAGCTATCCCAAACGAGAGCTACCTACAGCTAACTGCAGCTACCTAAAGTTAACTGCAACTAACAAAAGCTAACGACAGTTAACTATATCTAACTACAGCTATCCAATAGCTAACTACAACTAACTAAAGCTACCTATAACTGAATATAGCTACCTACAGCTACCTACAGCTTACTACAGCTACCTACAGCTACCTACAGCTAACTACAGCTACCTATAGCTTGTTCATGGGTCACCTGCTCAGCTAGGTGAGCTATAGGGACACCCAGGGGTTGGTTTTTCTTGAAAGGTTGGTAAGTTGAAACACAACAGGACTGAAACGAAGCTGTTTCGAAACATAATGATGTTCTTAGTTAATTTTACAGTTTGCAGTATCACAGTTTTAGCTCGTTTTCTCCGTCATGGATCGATATCAAATGTGAGAGTATTATTACAATTAAAACTTAACTCAGTTAAGTGCTCTCACTTCAGTGAGATCCCTTTTCAAGAATCAAAACACAAAATAAATGAACACAATAGCCACAACTAGGACACAGCACAAGTGGCACCCGGACATATGAGTGGGCCTGTACCCAGACAGGCCACTACAAGTCTCAGAGGAGTTTGCTTTTGGTCTTGCACTATTAAACGTTCAGTGCTTGAATAAGACCACCAGTGCACATCTGAAACCTAGCTGTCGGAAACCATTTGGAATTGCAGCAACAAGTGTTGCTAACAAGGGTTTCAGTCGGGTCCTTGCACTGGTGTGCTCGGACCCTAATAATGACAACACATGCATGGACTTGCTGACTTTATGGATGTGACAACAGGTGGACACTATCCAGAGACAAAGGACATCTACCAAGGCTGTACATGAACAAGGCCCAGATGTTTGTGCTGCTAGTAACAGTGACTCCACGTTGGTCACATGACATGGTATACGTTTACTGTCAACACCTTGCAGACAGCAGTGGCCAGTGGATGGGCTCATGCTGTCTGCTGCTGGGCCTCCATCAGCTGCTAATGATCAGAAGCTGCTGATGGAGGGGCTCTAGGTGGCGCTGCAAAGATTCAGATTAGCTGAAGATGTATTTATACATGAAAATAACAAGGGAAATATTAAATGGACAGATGACTGATAATGACTGTTAATCAAGCATCAGTCAGAATGTGGTCTCAGGGTGACTGTAGCAGCAGGAGAGGCTCGTGGTGCACAGGATAAAGCATTTTAACACTAATGTTCGTTTTGGCTTGTTTTGCTGGGGTGGGGGTATGAATATTTTTCTTCCTCCAGGGGGGCACTGGCAGGAAAATATCACTTTGTTGTCCCTGTGTGATATGTGTTGTTTCAGTGGTGGGTACCCAGACTCGGAGTACCTGAAGACTGTGAGAAAGCTGCTAAAGGACAAAGGCATTGAATAACATGGTCCACTGCTGGACGGACAGACGAAGGCAGACCTCAGACTACACTGTGTTTGTGAATTGGTGCCATAGCTACGGAAGCCGAGAGCGGTCATGGCCGCACATTTTTTAAAATGGCATTTTCTCGAGATAACGAGATAATTATCCCGTTGACAGTTTCACTGTCACTTCAGCCTTCATCAGAAGTTGTCGGACTTCCTGGTGTGACGTATCTTATATCGACAGCTGACCGGACACGACAGCTTACAATGAAGCGCTCGTGCTCGGTCTGGTCTGTCCTCCGGCCCCCCGCTGGTGACTGAGGATGGAATCCCAGGTGTGTGGGAGGTCCCACACACCTGGGATTCCATCCTGGACCGGGCACGAGCGGGCAAACACAAACACCAATTATCTCGTTATCACGAGAAAACGATTCCTGTTATCCCGAGATAACAAGAAAATGAACTCGTTACCTCAAAAAAACGGCGAAGAAAGAACCGTAGCGGAAAACGACGGCTCTGGGCTTCCGTACAGAGCCACTGAATGTCTTCTTAAAACGTTTTGATACCAACATTTTGCTGTCAGTGTGTAACCTTTAGTGTAATCTGTACATCATTTCATTCGCTCTTACACATATATCTATTATAAAATGTATTAAATCCCACTCTTGGTGATGTTTTATGTCATATGCCATGAAATGTTCTAATGTGCAGCGAATATTTCATTCTGAAATATGCCAAATATATAGAGAGCTGCTGGGACGGAGGGCTGTGGTTTGGGGGTCACACAGAGACATAAAATAAATGCAGAGCATGAGTAAGGTCGTCTAGAGCTGTGCAAATGGCAAGTGAGCATGCAGCAGAGCACAGTGCTGCTGCCTGAGGTAGATGTAACAGAGCTGTTCAGATCAAACATGGAGTGTGTTAGACGAGGAGGTCTGTTTGCCCTCCTGTCCATCTCCCCTGTGCCCTCCAGACCTCCTACGTATTCCAGCCTGTCTACCTCTGGGGGCTCCTTGTGGTCACCAGGTTGCCTGTTCTGAGATTCATATGGACTTTTACTTTAGAGTTTTCTTGAACATGTAGCTGCTTCCTGTTAGCTCCCTGCCTTTGTACCTGCTCAGTGTTTCTTTGATGAAGGTTTACTGGTCACCTTCCCCGACCTGCTCGTTACGGCTGCAATAATAAATGGATTTTTGCAGACATGCTGTGTACTGAATGTTTGAATGTATATTATTTGATTCAAAGTCTGACTGTGATCATACATCTTTGTTTTCAGCACGCTACTAAAGCCTGCTGACCTGCACACTTTCACTCACTCAGCACACAATCAGTGAACTTTGCATGAACTAAACAACTTTTTTGGACCACGTTGTGTTTTCTAGCATACCTGCAGATCTAGGATGAGATGCAGTGACAGCAGTCCATGAGGACTTTGGTCAGTTGAGTTTTGTGGTTCAAGGGGTCCAATGCTTTGGCACGCAATCTAAAACTAATGTTTCAGCTCAAAACAAAAGAGCACAACGGTTTGCATCAATCTTTTGTAGTTTGGAAAACTGATCAAAAATGCAGCTGATAAAAGGACATTGCAGAAATCCAAACGTGACCAAACAAAAGCGTAAATTAGGACCTCAGCATCCTGAAACGACAGAATCGGTCTGATCTTGGCACCTTGGACCTCAAGCTGTCAGATAGAGAGAAAACAACAGTGGACCCAGTCCAGACCCTTGTGGTACCTCATGCCGAACAGCACAGGACAAGAAAACCCTTTGAGAGCTCTCTGACAGGTAAGACCTGCAGCAAATATAATGATTACAACAAAAACAGCTCATAGGAGTTTACTTTCAGAGCTGATATCAGACATGTTCCAGGTTCTCTTGATAATAACCACAATCACTGAAGTCCTTCCATCAGTAGCTATTGTCATGTCCAAGAAGTTGTGTTACGTTTACTTTTTGTCTTGTGTCCATGTGTCGTGGTTTCCTGTTTTATTTTGACATGTAACTCTCCTCTTGTTTCAGGTAAGGTGTGTGTTTCCCTCTGGCCTGGTTGTTTCCACCTGTTCCCCTGTGTGGGAGTCAATAGTCTGGTCTCCGTTGTCCTGCTCGTCTTGTCTGCTGAAGTCAGAGAACCGACTCCAGTCCATGCAGTCACCCTGTCAGTCAGGTTTTGTGTTCTTTTGATACTTTACATTTACCACAGCCTTGCCTTGTGTTATTTGGACACTTTGTCGTGCCTTTTTCTGTAGTTATAGTTTATCCTCGTCAGTGATTTTTTTTGTTACGCGATATTCCAACTAGAGTGTTTCTTCCTGTCAGTGAGGGATTTTTAGTTGTGTACTTCATCCTCTGTAAGAGCGATTTTCATTTGAAACTTTGTCATTAAAGTTTATTAATTTGAACTTTGTCTCCCGAGTCGTGCATTTGGGTTCACGTCCTGGTTCGGTTCTGACAGCTATAGCATTGTGCTGCCAGAAACAGCACTTCTAGACGTTCCCTGTTTTCTTTTCTGTCTGTTTTAGTTTTTATTTTATTTGACCTTTATTTTACCAGGTAGAAATGTTTGAGAGGCAGACATGAGCTGGCCGAGAGGCGCCGGCAGGAACAAACACACAAAGTACAGATACACACATAAACACAACATAGAACAACAGCAAACAGGCAAGAAGCATGTGAGTGAGGAAAGATGTGCATGAGGTGTAAGAACGTGTGTTTGTGTACATATAAGTATGTAAGTGAAGTCTGATCAGCAGGACCAACAGTCGACGGCAGTCTGTTGGACTTGAAGGTGGTGAACGCAGTCAGAGCTGCACGTCTGAGGCTGTTTGGAAGCTGTTCCAGCTGTTGGCTGCTGCAAAGCAAAAGGAGTTACGGCCAAAAACAGTAGAAGTACTGGGATGATGAGCCTGATGTAGTCACTGGACCTGGTAGGATGAGGATTCTGGGCGACGTGAAGAAGACAGGACAGGCAGGGAGGTGTCTGGACCAGAACTGACTGGTAAATGAAATGAAACCAGTGGTGAAGCTGCCGAGTATGAAGGAAGGCCACCTCACCAGTTCATAGAGGTCACAGTGGTGAGTGTGGACGGAGCATTAGTGGCAAAGAGGATGGCTGAGTGATGAAGAGTGTCCAGTTTAGTCACATGATGCACACGAGTTAGTACCTGATGGCAGAACCATAGTTTGTGATGACTGCAGCCATGCGTCTCGGCTGCTCTCCACCAGGTTCTGACATGGTTCTGCTGCCACAGCAGCCCGTTCCTGCTGCTCACATTCACACTAACGTGCTTTGTTTGTGGGCTTGTGCTTCTCCATTTAGCCTTTGATGGTTTCCACAGGTTTTCAGCTGGATGTAGATCTGGTGACTGAGCGGGCCAAGGCATGGTTCCAGTGTTCTGGTTCTCCATCCAGGCTTTAGCTGACCTCGCCGTGTGCCAAGGGGCATCGTCTGGTTGGAAACCCAGTCACTGGAGGCAGGAAAGACTTTTCCAGCTGATGGCAGAAGACTGTTTTCCAGAGCAGCCTGTCCATGACCTGGTCCACTGGCCCTGTTCCACCCAAACTGGAACCAGCCCAGATGGTCCCTGATCCACCCCCATGTTCTACTGTAGGGGCAGGACAGTCTGGTCTGGAGGCTTCTCCAGGTTCCTCCTCACCAGGAAGTGGGCTGGAGTGGGCATAGTGGGCAGAAATGCCTAACTAGCTTCAGGTGGTTGAACTTGACTCTACAGTTGGTGTCATAGTCTCCTCCAGCAGCATTCATCTTCTGTCCTCATGCCGTCTCTTGAGTTGCTGCTCCAGCTGCAGTTTTCTCAGTCTAGCTAGTGTCAGGATTCCTCAAGCTGTCTTTAGTGTTGAGGAAGGTGTATTGAACTCCACCTTACAAGTCTGTGTGTTTACAGCCACCTGACCTTATTAAAGGACTGCTTTTGCTATTTCCTGTTCTCCTCTTTCCTGTCCTTGAACATAACGTGCCCTGAACATGCTGTCACTGGAATAATAATTTGGATTCAAAGTCGTGTAATGAGTTAGATGTGATGAAAGCAGCATATACTGCATTTCCATCAACTGTTTGGGCTGCTGCCATCAGCCGAACGTTTCTGGAGCGTTAAGGGAAGAACCTCCAGACTGATCATCAGCTTCATTCCACCAGCTGTCAGAACGCTGAACCGCTGATCCAGAGATGCAAACACTTCTTTATTTAAAGTTGTTGGATCCTGAAGAGATGCTCTCTCCTCCTGCCCGTCCTGCTGTGGATGTGCAGCACCATGACAGTAAACTGGACTGGATTTGATGCCACTCTGATATTCCTGCCGATGGGTTTGTCTGAACTCCACCAGTTGCTTTCTTCTTCCAGAGGAGACTAGGAGGGCCGGTTCCTAAAGCTGTGCCGTCCTCGGGCCTCGGCGGAGCACATCCAGTGTACGACAGGCTTGTCCAAAGACAGAGCAGCTGTTCATGTGCTTTGACTGCAGCTATCTGGGTCGGCCCTGGTTACAGCCTCTGCTGCCCCACTGACCTGTGAACAGCTTCTCTGCTTCCACGGTTGAACTGTGCATCATGTGTTTGGATGTGTGCATTTAGAAATGGTGTTTTTGTCACTTCCTGGTGTTTTGTGCTGCACTGTCTCCTCATGGGGCATCTTAAAGAGTAAGCCTGAACATATCCAGCATGTCCCAGGGTGGAGACATAGTCTGGAGATGGTGGAGAACGTACGGTCACATCACACCCATACGTCTGTGAGTGAACAGCCGATCACTTCAGCTCTTTCTGGCCACTCAGTTTCGGTCAAACTATCAGTGAATTCATTCCAGCACAGGCATTCAGGGGTGGGCAGAGAGAAGCCAGCATGGCCGGAGGACCGTTTCTCTACCTGCTGCTGAGCCAACAGGAAGTCAACGCTCAGCAGGAATCCCATAAACGCATCACAAGCTGAGAGCAGTCTTTGTAACGTGTGCTCTGTGATGTTGTTCATGACACCACTGTGCTACCTGAACTTCTCTCTGGATTTTACTGGGGCAATGATGTCAACTTTTGCCTGGAATGAGGCTGTCGTCCTACCAACGAGATGATCCATCTGTGGGGAGCTAACGTGAGGGTGTTTGGCTCAGAGGGAGTCGAAG